GACTCTAAAGCCTTACTTTTATATTTTTTATACTGCTCTCATTATTTACTGGTTACAACATTTTTCTGCCACTTTTCACACTAAGAAGTTGGCCATAAACATTTGATTAATAAATAATTTTTGGAAGACTGTTTCAAATTAAAAAGAAACAATATTGTCAGAAAAAATACAAAACCAACAGTAACATCCCATTAAAATCACTAAAACAACGTGGTTCTGAAAATTTATTTATTTCCCACTTATTTATTTTTATAAAAAGACTGATGTAAACTGTAATCTTATGGCCCTTGGCATTCCAGGACTGTTACAGAAGAGGGGTTAATCAGCCTAAGTTCAGAGAAAGGGATCCCACCTTGAAGGGAGAAATGCAACAAGTCCCCTTTTTCAACATTTAGGAACCATTAGAATGCCAACATTAGGAGAAGGAAAAATGGGGAAGATAATATAGAACCTGAAAGATCCAATCCTTCATAATATTTCACCCAGAGAGAAAACTTACACCAACCCTGCAAGCTGATTTAATATAATTATTTCCCATTCTTCACGAACAACAACAATAAAAGGTATATATTATATATATGTGTGTGTGTGTATTAACACTACAACTGGGATTGGAGGGTGGGACTCAAATGCCTCTCTGCTCCCGATATTGGTTGCATTGCCCAGAGGCTACTGGATAATTTCTTGAAGCCTCTAATCCTAAGGGGCCTTGGGGAGAGAAGAGCATTGTCCTACTAAATGCCTGCTTGAAAGTCCCATCAACACTTTTCCAAATCGTGAGATTGTTGATAATTCCATTACAAATACTATATATTTTATATTTTGGAAATAACACGAGAGAAAAGCTTGCTTGGCAAATGTGTTTATGTGAATACACAATTCCTTAAGAAGGCCTTCTGTGTTGATGGTAATAGTTTGGCTGGTTTGGAACAATAGACTAGTATAATGTTTGGGGCTGTTTTGTTAAAATGAAATAGAAAATACCATATCCCTCGTATAAGCAAAAACAACCCATTGCTTATCATATTTTTGTCTGGCAGTTATATGAATCTTTGATTTGCAAAATACTTTCAATGCAGTTCATTACTTTTACATTTAAAATATATATTCAAAAGAACTGAAGATGTAATACAAAGTGAAATATCTGTAAAATAAATGTAGCAGAATGAGGCTGACATATGCAGAAGTTATGTTGCAAGTACATTTTTTCATAGAAATCTAAAAAAAAATTACAAAAAAAGCTGTACTCTGTAAGGTGTATTTTCTAAAATCTGGTTACACTTTAATAGTAAAGATTTCTTCAAATGAAGGCAAACGTGATTTTATTTTTGAGCTGTTTTGCAGTTGTTCTGGAAAAATAAGCAAAAGTAATGAACCATTGATAAAAACAGGAGCAGCATACAGACAATTGTAGCATAAAAGAAGAATATGTGAAGCTTAAAATTTTTCCTGCATGCTATAAACTACTAGCTCACTGCAATAAAACTTTTTTAGAACACACCATAAAATTAAAATGAAAAGTAATAGTACCTGGCTCAAAGTTAATGTATTATAAAAAAAATTAATATTGGTTGAAGTAAAAAATACGTGGCATTTTTTTAATATGAGCTCCGTTTTTTGCAAGGAATGCATTTAGTAGATAATTAGAATGTACAGCAAATATTAGTCACACATAAAAGAAGTGCCACTTTGTTCATGTGTACTGGGACCCATTTTCCTTTGGTTTGAATCTATGGAAAGTGAAAACTATGTGCAGAGATATTTTTAGAATAGTTAGAATTAACTAGAATTAAATGTTGGCTGAGAAGGACATGCTTTTGATTTCACTCTTGGATATGTAAAGAAAGCAGCTCTCATAACTTTTGTCTGCATTAGTTTTTTGTGGCTCACTTTTAAAGACTGGAGTTGTAGAAGATGAAAAA